TGAGTGAAAAGCTCTTAGTGTCTGGCACATAATAAATATTCACTAAATGTTAGCTGCTATTGTTATAAATAAGAATGTAATTTATTGTATGGTTATTACATAGCAGGAGCCTCCAGGTACATTATCTGTAATCCTGATAACAATCTCAGAGGGTAATTATTATTGTCCCCACCTTACACATAAAAGAGATAAATTATTTGTTCAAGGTCACTTGCTTAGGAAGTAGCAAAGCAGAGGTTTCCTTGGGTCTGAAAAATATATTTCATCTGAATATCATCATATCTATAGAAGAGCTGCCCTGTAGAAAGTCTCCCTCCAACTCCATTATGTTTCAAGTTGATATTTTTAAAACCTACAAAGTCACAATAAGTCAAAGGATCACCTTTATAGAATAACTGATTTAATTACAATCAATTTAGTCCTTCAAGCTTTATCACAGAATTGACAGGGAAACTCAAAATGTCATCTCATCAATTAACTGTTCCCCATAAGTAAACTTTAAGATGCTTAAGTTTGAGAGTCTCTGTATTAGTCAATATTCTTCGAGTAAAGATTAATGAAGCCCATCTCAAAATGTCTTAAGCAAAAAGCAAGTTTATGACTCCAATGTTTGAGAATTCTGAAAGGTGACTTCAGGCATAGCTGGATCCAGGCTCTTTGCTTCCCTCTCCCTCTCCACACTGGCTCTATTTTCAGCTCTGCTTTCCTCTCTTGACTGGCTTCCTCCTCTTCTCTGAAAAATTGCAATGTATGTTGCTAGAGGGATTTGCCAAAAGTCTCAACATTTTATCTTTACAGTCTAGTAACCCCCACAGCAGGAAGAGCCTTTATTCCTGCAATATCTATAGACAGTGGGTCCTTGAACAACTTGAGTTTAAACCGGGCGAGTCCACTTGCATCCAGATTTTCTTTGCCTCTTCTACCCCTGACACAACAAGACCAAACCCTCCTCTTCTTTTTTCTCTCCAGCCTATTCAAAAAGGGGTTGAAGATCTCTGTGATGACCCACGTCCATTTCATGAATAGTAAGTACCTTTTCTTTACCTTGTGACTTTCTTAGCAACAATTTCTTTCCTCTGGCTTATTTTATTGTATGAATATAGAACATGCAAAATATGTCTTAATCAAATGTTTATGTTATTGGGAAGACTTTGGTCAATAGCAGGCTAGTAGTAAAGTTTTAGGGGAGCTAAAATGTATACCTGGATTTTTGACTGCACAGAAATCATCCCTAAGCCCTGATGAGTCATTGATAAGAGCTCAGGCCTATTTATGCCATTGAGTCTGATTAGTTCTATGAAGAAATGGGATGGAACACTTTGACAGACGCCAGAGGGACTCCTTGGAATGAAAAAAGAGGTTTCCAGGAAAGGAATTCTATTCCCTATTCACAGAAAGGAAGGGAGGGGAATTATAGTGAGTACATAGACTCCAATCAGTACCATGGTCACTGGAGTCTTTTTCAGAAAGAAATTTTAATGTTCAACTTTTGTTCCATTTTTCTTCATTCACTTAACCAAGCAATTGTAAATCACTCACTGTGAACACTGATCTGGGTATCTGGAAAACTTCAGAGAAGAACAAGAGTCCTTCCATAGCACTGCAGTATCTTTTCCTGTGGCCGATCTAATAAAGGACCACATATTTGGTGATTTGTAACAAATACAAATGCATTATCTTAAAGGTTTGAAGTTGAAATGCCCCAAACCAGACTCACTGGGCTAAAATCAGAGTCAGTAGGCCGGTTCCTTCTGGAGGCCGTAGGGGAGACTCAGTGTCCTTGCCTTCCCTGGCTTCCCCCTGGGCTCATGACCCCTTCCTCACACGATGAGCCCTCCTGCTCCGAGTCTTATCTCCTTCATCTTCCGCAGTCCAATCTCCCTCGGCCTCCCTCCTGTAATGTGACTACATTTAGGGCCCACCGGAACAATCCAGATAGTCTCTCCCTCTCAAGATCCCTGATCACACCTGCAGAGTTCCTTTGGCTGTGGAAGGTGACACTCACAGATTATGAGGATTAGAACACAGACATCTTGGTGGGGCATTATTCTGCCTTCCTCAAGCCCAGTCCAGGGAGGTATCACAACCCAAGCTGATAGACAGCTCTACTCTCAGGCAAAGAAAGGCATATTTTCTCAAAAAGAAACCACAGCTTATACAGGATGAAGAAATCACTTTCAGCTTCTGGGATCTAGTTTGCCTTCTTGACCAACAACAGGAAACATTTAAACTACTTATTACGTGTCAGACATTGTTCTGAGCACCTTTCTCATATAACTCCCTTATCTTCACAAACGGTCATCCTCACGGGATAGAAGAGAAAGATAAGGCACAACAAGGTCAAGTGACTTTATTACACTGGATTAGCAGGGCGAGGGTTTGCACTCGAGGTGTCTGATTCCCAAACGCGAACTCGTGACCATTTGAGATGAAACTTAAGGGATGGATAAGCAGCAAACAGTGAGGAATGGAAGGGTGTTACAGAC